GCTTTAAAATGTGCTTAGCCTCTCCATCCAATTTCATCATAAAAACATACATATTAGTTTTAGTCTTTTTAAAACTTTAAAACAGTGGCATTTTGGTTTCTTTACATATACCTTAGTCATTAGAAATACACTGCTATTTCACATATTTTGATGCTACTACAATCGAAATATTTGTTCAGTTTATTTCCTCTAAATAATTACTGATGGTATAAAGGAAAGTTTTTGAATGTTGCATACTTATCCTTTAGCTCATAAACTTAGTGACTCTAATTATTTCAATTAATTATCTTAGTTTTTAAAAAGATTTATATATTTATTTGAGAGAGAGAGAGAGTAAGTGAGCACGACCAGGGGGAGGGGCAGAGAGAGAGAATCTCAAGCAGACTCCCCACTAAGCACGGAGCCTGACCTGGGGCTCTATCCCACGACCCTGAGATCATGACCTGAGCTGAAACCAAGAGTCAGACGCTTAACTGACTGAGCCACCCAGGTGCCCCTCCTACTTTTTAAAATGTTTTTAAAATGTTTTTCTTCCTTCTAAAAATGGTTTCTTCTTCTTCTCTTTTTATTTGTCATTGCTTTATTGCATTGACCAGTAATTCCTGAATAACCCTTGAAAAATTGTGATAACAGGCAGCTTCTTTTCTTTATGATTTTAATGAGAAAGCCATTGGAATTTCAGAGGTAAGAATGCTTGCTGTTGGCTATTGGTTTAAACTAAGTAGTCTATCATTAATATGAGTATTTATCTTATAGCTTGAAATTTGTACCTTTTGACCACTTTCAACCCCCCCCCATATCTAGTACCTACCAATCTTATCTCTTTTTCTATGAGCTTGTGGCTTTTCTTTCTTTCTTTCTTTTTTAATTCCACATGTGAGATCATACAATATTTATCTTTGTCTGACTTATTTCACTTAGTGTAGAGCCCTCAAAGTCTATCCACGTTGTCACAAATGCTAGGATTTCCTACTGTTTTTATTGCTGAAGAATATTTTACTGTGTATATACACATACTTATATACATTTTCTTTATCCATTCATCTGCTGATGGGCACTTAGGTTGTTTCCATGGCTTGGCTGTTGTAAATAATACTGCAATAAACTTGGGAGTGCAGATATCTCTTCAACATACTAATTTGTTTCCTTTAGATATATACCCAGAAGAGGAATTGCTCAATCACATAGTATTTCTATTTTTAATTTTTTGAGGAATATCCATACCATTTTCCACAGTGGCTGCACCACTTTGCATTCCCACCAACAGTACATGAGGGATTCCGTTTCTCCACTTCTTCCCCAGCATTTGTCTTTTTGATAATAGACATTCTAAAAGGCATGAGGTGATATCTCACTGTGATTTTTATCTGCATTTACCTAATGACTAGTGTGCTCATTGCCATTTGAATATCTTCTTTGGAAAAATGTCTATTCAGGTCCTTTGCTCATTTTCTAATTGGATTATTTATTTTTTTGCTATTGAGTTGTATGAGTTCTTTATATATTTTGGATATTAACCCCTTATCAGGTATATGATTTGCAAGTATTTTCCCCCATTCAGTAGGTTGCTTTTTCATTCTGTTGATGATTTCCTTGCTGTGCTTTTGAGTTTGATAGTTTTTAGTAGTCCCACTTGTTTATTTTTTATTTTGTTGCTTGTTCTTTATGTGTCATATTTAAAAAAAATCATTGCCAAGACCCATGTATAGAAGGTTTTTACATATTTTTCTACTAGGAGTTATATGATAACGATAGTTAACACTGCTGAATAGTATATTTGAAAGTTTAGTAGATCCTAGAAGTTCTCATCATAAGAAAAAAAATTTTTTTGTAACTATACGAGGTGATGGGTGTTAACTAAACTTAATGTGTAAAAAATATTCAACATATTTTTCTTGTGACTCTGTTGTAATATTTCATAGTAAGATATTTCATAATGTTAAAATGTCTATTCATTTCTAAGAAAAATCAAAATTAGTAATTGTAAATTATTCTGTTAATTTCCTCTAATTCCTTTATTTATAAACTTTTCATCTACGTCTGTAAGTGAAAATATTTATTTTATGGCTATCATTTTAGATTTCGATATCAACATTATAGCATATTCAGAACATGAATTACTTAACTTTTTGTCTATTCTTTTACTTTGGAAGCATTTTTTTTTCCTTTTTATGTCAGGAAAGTCAGAATGTGTATGTTTGAAAAGGTCATCTATAAAAGATTTGAGTCCAAAGCCCTATGTTGAGAGAATTATTTTATAGATTTTATTATATTACAATTACTTTAATAAGATTTTCTGGCTACCAACTTATTAAATAACATTGAATAAAATTTAGAAAATTGAGAGAAATGAAATAAAATCACCGAAATTCTATATAATCTATATCATCTCCCTATCCACCTATCTACCTATACACCTATTTATGCAAATGGGCTCTGTACTTTACATAAAATTTTGTAATTTACTTCTTACTTTATATCCTTTGAGCAATATTTCCATTTGCATTTGAATTTAGAAGAAATTTGTAGCAATTATTTTTTTAAAGATTTATTTATTTTATTTATTTAAGAGCGTGTGTGCATGAGCAGGGGGAGGGGCAGAGGGAGATGAGGTGAAAAGCAGACTCCCCTGCTGAGCATGGAGATCATGACCCTGAGATCATGACCTGAGCCGAAATCAAGATTTGGCCTCTCAACCAACTGAGCCACCCAGGCGCCCCAGCAATTGTTTTAACTTAGCTCTATATTTGAGATATTTCAATGTTCTTCGTATCTTAAACTTTCATATTTGAGATATTTCAATGTTCTTCGTATCTTAAACTTTCATATTTGAGATATTTCAATGTTCTTCGTATCTTAAACTTTCTTAGAGTTTCTCAAACTCTATATTTGAGATATTTCAATGTTCTTCTTATCTTAAACGAAAGATACTCTTCGTATCTTAAACCAATGATACATTTTACATTTTGGTTTAAAAGTGTCCCTAAGTTATCTTTTATTAATGGTTTATCAATAGTATGATTTTTTAAGTCTTGCATAAATAAAAATATATCTACATCTAAGGACAGCGTAATATTTTTGTCCTTTTCTATCCTTTTGTGCTTCTTCAATTTGTTTCCACAGTATATTAAATTGTCTCAATGTGCTTATGTAGACACTTACCTTTTTTTTTCCAGTAACAATTTTAATTTATTTATCCCCCTATTTAATATTTTACCATGGAAACCTGGAATTCAAATGTCATTATGTTATATAAGGTTTATACTTAACTTTAAACAAAAATGTAATATGGAACTGGCTTTCTAAAATCATTACAGCATAGCTGTAGTCTGCACTCTGGGGCTGTGGGAGAGGGAGAAGCTGACTCCCCACTGAGTGGAGAGCCCCATGTGACTCCGAAGAGATGAAGTAGGGTGAGTAAGGCAGACACTGTGATGTAGCATGAGGCCACTGTTGACCTATAGATGACATGTCAGAAGGAGGATCATCTGCTTCCAAACGGCAGTTGACCTCACGTAACTGAAATCACAGAAAGCCATAGATGGGGGATTGGCTACTGTATACTTCTATATCACTGAGAGGAGAGTTTACTTTAGGATTTAATTCCTCAATCTGTCTTGATATTATTGGAAATTGCTCCCAAAACTTAATATCTTCTTGTTTTGATTAGTTTTGATGGTTGCTATGTCCTTTGACTTTTTTTATGTTTCTGTGAATATTTTAAGAAGAAGCTGGGATGAGTAAATTGTGGAATGTTAGCTTAAGGTCATCTTTGCTTGGATTTCCATCACAGGCAGAGGAAATATGAGCTAAGTCAGAAATGTGAGAAAACGGGGGTATTTCTGGGAAATGGCCAGATTCTAGGAATTATACAATTTTATCATTGATTGTGAAATGGGGAGCCATTAAATTTTTCAACCTGAAATTTGGCATTAGGAAGCTGTATTTAATAAAAATTGGTCTGACCATGATGGGGAGAATTAATCCAATGGGTCAAGGACCACTTTTGAGGTGTATTGTCATGGTTCAAGTGAAAGGAGATTCAGGGCAGTATAAAATGGAGCCATTAACTAAAAGAGGCAGATTGCAAAATGGTTAGTTGTCAGAGTCACACTGTTTGCTCACTTTTAATTCATCTCCCACCACTTAGATCCATGTGATCTTGGGCGTGCCTCTCAGTATCTCTGGGTCTCGGAATTGAGAGCTCTTATTGGACACTCTTTACAGGGCTCCTAAGTGTGTCAATAAGACTAACTCCGTGAATTTAAGCCATTATTACTACTCACATTTTATATTCCAGAAAATTAGCTCACTAGGAGGAATAGTGACAAAGGAAGAGATCAACCCCCCCGAACCCCGAGCTTGCTACACAGAAGGTGTAATAAGCATGCATTTGTCTGTTTCCGGCTCAGCCAGTAAAGCTTGGCAAGAAATGGCCTCCAATCAGCATTAGTGAGCTGGGGACCCCATTTTGTTCTTCTCAAATGGTAGATATCACTTCTAAGTGTTGTCATCTGATTCCTAGTCTGTTTAAATGAAATTCGACTTGATACGTGAATACATTGAGTAATTCTTTTCCTCTTAAACTCTGAACGATAAATAGCGTGTTTACTTTACAAGCACTCACTCTACCTGTGAACTATTATGTTTTTCTTGCTTTTTTTTGTGTGTGTGAATTCAAAAGCTTTGATTTCTCAGTGAATCTGTTATGCTAACAAAGGTGTTTTCATTTGTGTATTTTTCATTAACTTATAAAGATGAGAAAAATGAGACTGTATTAGTATAGTACCTCATTTGTTTAATTATTTGTAATAAGTAATTGAAAGGCATGTAAATGAATATGCCTTCCCTATTAGAGGCAAGTGGAAAGCTTTTCCTACCAAAATTAAATGCTCTCTTGCACACTTCTTAAAACAGCAAAGATATAATCTTGGAATTTCTCTTAATATTTCATTACTCAGAGAGAAATCAGTAAATGTTAGAAATTAGGGCATACCTACCTTATAAAATCAAGAATTTCTCTTGCCAGGGCTCCTGGGTGTCTCAGTTGGTTAAGCATCCAACTTTTGATTTTGGCTCAAGTCATGATCTCAGGGCTGTGAGATCAAGCCCCACGTTGGGTCCCTTGATGGGCATGGAGGAGCCTGCTTGGGATTCTTTCTCTCCCTTTTTCTCTGCCCTTCCCTCTCATTCTTTCTCCTTCTCTAAAAAAAAAAAGAAAAAGAAAAAAAGAAAGATCTTGCCTTTTAGAATTCTTATGTCTCACCTTGGTCCAAGAATTACAGTTATCTATTTAGTTCAACATGTTAAAAGAACACCTGTGTTTTTTGCAATTTAAAATGGAGTCTGATTCATTGCCACAAGAAATGTAGCTGCATATGCATGAGATAACCTGTCTGTCAGGTATCTCTAGAGCAGAGTGCAAGTCTGTGCAAAGCACAAGAATTCTCAGGGAAGAGAAGCTACATTTATTAATATTAGTAATGTTAACATTTAAACAAGCTAGCATTTATTAAGTACTTATCATATGCCAGGCATTGTTCTAACTCATTTCATCTCCACGATATGAAGTAAGTGTTGTTATTTTCTTCATTAAACAAAGGAAGAGACTGAAAGTCTTGTTCAGACCAGGCAGACAGTAAATGGACTATTTTAACAAACATTCTGATTCAGAACTGGGACACAAAAGCACCACACAAAAATTCCTAATAATTCACATGTGCCAACAGATTTAATCACAAAAATGCCTCCTTGAAGATGATGGAATATAAAAAGCTATCATCACTGTGGGGAAGAAAGACATCCATCCTTTCTCCAATTCAAAAATGCCAAAGTAGGAAAAACAGCTATTTTACTCAGAAGACCAGAAGGACAAAAATTAAAATATTTAATGGCATGAAAGCATCATTTGGTTTTGATATGACACTGGTAATAGGTTATGTTATAAGCAAAAGATATGGCAATTATATAAATGATTTTTAAAAAATAAACTTTCTTGAGGCAGAATTTATAAATAATATATTCACTAATTTTAAATGTGTGATTCAGTTCAACTTCTCACTTCTGACAACCACTAATATGCTGTGTCTCTAAAGTTTTTCATTTTCTAGAATTTCATATAAATGGAATTGTACAGTGTATATAATTCTTTGTGTCTTTACCATAATGCTGTGGACACTTACCTCTGTTGCTGTATGTGTCAGGAATTTCTTCTCTATATTGCTGAGTAGTATTCCATCATAAAAGCACACTTCAATTTATTTATCTGCTCACAATTTGAGAGACATTTAGGTTAGAACCAGTATTTGACTATTATAAATAAAGCTGCTTTGAACCTTTGAATACAGTCTTTGTTTGGGCATGGGTTTTTATTTCTATTTGATAAATGACTAGGAGTGAGATTTCTTGGTCACAAGGAAAGTAAATACTCAACTTTATCTACAACTGCCAAATGGTTTTTCAAAAAGGATGGACCATTTTGTATCCTTATTCGAGACATGAAAATCCTAACAGAGTTTCTCCAACATTTGGTATTATCCAAATGTCAATTTTAGCCATTTTAGATGTACAGAGATTCCTCATTGTGATTTTTTCCTAATTGTTATGTTAAGCATCTTTTTTGTATCCTTAGTTATCATTTTGTAGCTCTTTTTATTAACAGATTTATTGAGATATAACTTATGTACTTTAAAAGCCACCCAATTGTAAAGTGAAACCCATTACAACTTAATGGGTTTCACTTTATTTACAGAATTGTACAAATGTTACCATCATCTAATTTTAGAATATTTTTATCATCCCCTAAAGGTTAGGCAATCCCTAATTCTTTTACCTACTCTACAGATTCACCTATTCTGGACATTTCATATAAATGACATCATAGAATATGTGGTCTTTTCTGACTAACTGACCACTTTTCCATTTAGCATAACGATTTTGAGTTCTGGCCGTTTTTCAGAGTGGATCGTTACACTTGAAGTTTCTGCTCAAATCTGCTGGTTTTCTTTTTCTTTTTCTCTTTTTCCTTCTTTCTTTTCTTTTTTTTAAATAGGGCAATTTGTTTCCTTATTTTTATTATTTTTAAAGATTTTATTTAGTTATTTGAGAGACAGAGAGAGAGGGAGAGGCAGACTTCCCATTGAGCAGGGAGCTGAATGCGGGGCTCAATCCCAGGACCCTGAGATCATAACCTGAGCTGAAGGCAGACACTTGACCAACTAAGCCACCCAGGCACCCTAAGAGTTCTTTATCTATTCTGGATATATGCCCTTTATCAGATACATATTCAACAAATACTTTCTCCTAATGCATGGCATGCCTTTTCATTTTCTTAATAATGTCTTGTGAGAAAGAAGCATTTTTAATTTTGATGAAATACAATTTCCATTCTTTTCTCTGTGGTTTGTGATGTCCATGTCCTATGTAAGAACATAAAGCTAACCTCAAGGTCACAGGTTATTTTTGTTTTGTACATGAAATTGTATGCTTCTGTTCACAATATTTAGGTCTACCGTCTCTTATAAATTAATTTTTATATATGGTGTGAGAAGTGGGTCGAGGTTTATCTTCTTTTGCACATGGATGTCCAATTGTACCAGAATCATTTGTTGGAAAAACTCCTTTCCCATAGAATTACTTTGACTCTTTGTTTGAAGATCAGTTGATAAAATGTTTGTCTCTATTTCTAAACTCTGTGTTCTTTTCCCATTTATCTGCAGGTCTATCTTCGTGCCAACAGCACACTCATGGTTACCATAAATTTATAATATGTCATGAAATGAAAGGTACGAGGGCTTCAACTTTGGTCTGCTTTTACAAAGGTATTTTCGCTATGCTAGGTTTTGTTTGTTTGTTTGTTTGCATATAAATTTAAACAAGGGCTTTTTAATTTCTGCAAAAAATAAGCCTGTCAGGACTTCCATAGGGATCACATTGAATCTATAGTTCGCTTTGGGGAGCTCCCAACTTAACAATGCTGAGTCTTTAGATTACTAAACATGATATAACCTCTATATTTCATCTTCATGTATATGCAGTGTTTTGTGGTTTTCAATGTATGGGTTTTACACATTGTTAAATTCATTCCTAAATGCTTCCTATTTTCATTTGCAAATGTAAATAGTATTTTTTTCCAATTCCAATTTCCATTCTTCACTGTTCAGATATAGAAACAGTTGAATTTTTATTTTTACCTCACATGCTGTACCACTGCTGAACTTGTTAGTTCTACCTGCTTTCTCATATATACATATTAGAATTTCCTTCATAAACAAACATGGCATCTGTAATTAAACAGTTTACCTCCTCCTCTCCCATCTGTATGCCTTTTATTTCCTCTACTTGCTTACTGCATTAGCTATGTCTTCTATTTCAGAGGGAAATAAAAGTGATGTGAGCAGACATCTCGCAATGTTTTCAGTCTTAGGAGGATAGCATTCAGATTTTAACCATTAATTATGATGTTAGCTGAAAGATTTTCTTTCTTTCTTTTTTTTTTAGCTGTAGGATTTTCATACATGCTTTGATTAGGTTGAGGGAGTTCCCTTATTTCGTTTGCTGCTAGTTTTTCTATCACTTTAATCATGAATGGGTATGAATTTTGCCAAAATATCTTTTACGTCTATTGAGATATATATATTTTTACTTTTCAGTGTATTAATATGGTGAATTACATTATTTAGATTTCAAATGTTAAGAAAGCCATGTATCTTGAGATAAACCACACCTGATAATGATCCTCATTATATATATATATATATATATATAGCTGGATTTGAGTTTCTAAAGTTTTGTTAAATTTATCTGCCTTTAAGTTAATGAGGGATTTTGAGGTCTAGTTTTCTTTTCTTGTAATGTCTTTTTTTGTATCAGGATATTTCTGACCTCATGAAATAAGATGGGGAGACTATTTTCTGAAGAATTTATGTAAAACCGGTATTATATCTTTCACAAGTGTTTGGCAGAATCCACAGTGGACTCATCTCAGCCTAAAATTTTCATTGGGGACAATCTTTAAAGATAGATTCAATTTATCTAATAGATAAAAAGTTTTCTGGGTTATATTTTTCTCCTTGTGTGAGTTTTGGCAGTTTGTGTCTTAGAAGGGATTTGTACATTTCATCTTTATTGTTGATTTATTGGTCTGCGATTGTTGATAATATTCTATATTTATCTTTTGATGCTTGTAGGATCTGTAGTGATGTTTGTAGTATCTGTAATTTGTGTCTCCTTTGTCCTGACCAGTATGACTTAAAAGAATTTATAAATTTTAATCATCTTTGCAAAGAACCAGCTTATGTTTTATTGGTTATTTTCCTATTGTTTCTGCTTTTGTTTCATTCTTTTGGTTTTGTTTTTTTTTTTTAATCAGCATTTCTTTCTTACTGCTTACTTTGTGTTTGACTTTTACCCCCTCATTTCTTAAGGTAGAAGATAAGATCGTTGATATAAACCTTTTCTCTTTTAATTTCTCAGAAATTAAAAAGCCCTAATAAGCATTTAAAATGATAATTTATTTTCCTTCTAAGCACTGCCTCGCCTCATCCCATAAATATTGATACCCTGTGTTTTGATTTTCATTGATTTAGAGTATTTTTAGTTTTATTTATCCTTTCTTCTTCAATTCATGAATTATTTGTAACCCATGTTGTATTGATTAATTTCCAAATATTTGAGGATTTTCAGATCTCATCTTTTTTATTTCTTGTGTAATTTCACTTGGTCAGAGAACATATTTTGTACAAGTTCTGTCCATTTAAATTTACTGAGATTTTTCTTGAGGCTCAGAAGGTGTTCCATCCTCATGAATGTTCCCTTTTACTTGAAAAGATGCGTATTTAATGTGGTTTTTGGGTGGAGTGTTCTATGACTATAAAATCTAGTTCTCATGAAATTTTGCTTCACATATTTTGAAGCTCTGTTACTGGGTTCATACACATTTGGAATTATTACATCCTCTTGATAAACTGACCCCTTTCTCTTAGTGAAATTCCCCACTTTGTCCCTGGTGATATCTCTTGCACTGTGATCTACTTTTTTTTTTATTAAAGATTTTTA